ATCAATATGTATAGAATAAATGGATGGAAAAATGAAAATGATAGAATTAGGTAGAATATAACTATGATTACCCCAAGCAGTTCCAAGTTAATTAGGTGGTAACAGGCAGCCACTGAAGGTATGTATATAGAAGCATAACATCATCACAGGTTAATGGTAGCAGTGTAGTAGTCACACTGAAAAAAGTCACTAATAGCAGAGTTCAATTAGATTACTGCAGCAGTATAGGTATAAAGGAATTAGTAAGAAATAAACATTAAGTGAGCCCCTAATATTGTCCTGGGTATCTCAAAAGTCTTAATCACGTAATCCTCTGCACTTTAAATTGCGAAAACTGAGCCTCAGAAAAGTAACTGAAAGACAAACAATGACTGGTTAACTGCCACAAAAGTCACATTATTTCACTAACTTGCTACCTAAATGAAATATTGGCAATAAAAATAGAAAATGAAGAACAAAAGTTAACTGACAGTCCAGTTCCCCATTACCCAAGGAATCTCAGATGAGTCACGTAACTCCTTTCTAGCTCAGTTTCCTCATCTACAAACTAAAGGTACCTACAAAGACTTATTTCTTCCACCTCTAAAATTATCTTGTATTAGTAAGACTCGATTCATCAAGCTTCCCACACTCTAACCAGATCTGACATGAACAACCCTATCAATTTCATCTTGTACTCATCTACTGCAGACTCTCACAATTAAATTAAATCAACTTCAGTCTCTCCAATAAATTCACTCAAGATAAGAATTTTCAGTGAGAGAAGTTCGGATCAGCCTAGAGGTGAAAGGACTTCTGGGATAATGTGATATAAGAAACATGTATTTGGTTGTCAGTCCCAGTTCCTAGGACAGAGCTCCTGAAACTCTTATAATTTGTTGAGTGACTGAGTGAGAAAAGCATCTTGTGTTATTCATAAGTCCCTTTCAACCATACCTAAATATGTGTTAATGAAGATAAGCTGGCAGCCAGAGGACCCAAAGGTGATTAGAGGGTGGAACTTCTGGCTTCATGCCCCACCCTCCAATATGAGATGAGTAAAGGGGATAGGCATTAAGTCCTGTCACCAACAGTCAATGATTTAATCAAGTGTGCCTATGTAATAAGGTCTCCATAAAAACCCAAAAATGTGAGATGGGAAGTTTCCAACTTGGTGGCTGCATCCAGATGCTGGAAGAATGGTATACCCGGAGGGTATTGCTTGCATACCTTGTTCTATGCATTTCTTCCATTTGGATACTTCTGAGCTGTATCCTTTATAATGAATTACTAATAGTAAGTAAAGGGCTTTCCTGACCTTCGTGAGACAGGCTAGCAAATTATCAAACCCGAGGAGGGGGTCATAGCAACCCAAATTTATAGCTAGCCTGTAACAAGTTGCATTCTAGACCTGTGATTGGCTTCTGATGTGGGTGGCAGTCTTGTGAGAGTAAGCCTTTAATGTATAGATCTGCATTAACTCTGAATAGTGTCAGAAGTGCTTAATGTAGAAAACCTACATATTTGGTATCAGAAATGAAGTCAAAACACAGAAGTGTTTTGAGAATGAAAAACATAGCTTAACCTTACCTTCTGTTTTCCTATAGAAATTTCATCTCTGCAAGATACTTGGTACTCTACTGAGGAGTATCAATTATTTTTCATTGCTTTTTAATACTTTATTTTTTTTAAAGCAGTTCTGGTTTTGAGTAAAACTGAGCAAAAAGTACAGGGAGTTCCCACTGCCTCCCCCATCATCAAAAGCCTCCACCAGAATGGTACATTTGTCACAATAAGTGGACCTACAATGATACACCGTTATCACCCCAAATCCATAATTTATGTTGTGATTCACCCATGGTGCTGTACATCCATGGGTATTGACAAATGTATTAATAACAAGTATCCAGCATTACAGTATCAAATAAAATATTTTGCCTATTCTTTTTGTTCTGCCTATTCAACCCTCTTCCTCCATAACTAATGGCACCACTGATCTTTTTACTGTCTCCATGGTTTTGCCTTTTCCAAAGTGCCATATGTTTGGAATCATACACTATGTAATCTATTCAGATGGGCTTTACGAACTGAATAATACCCATTAAAAGTTTTCTCATGACTTGATAGCTCATTTCAGATGGGCTTTACTCACTGAATAATACCCACTAAAAGTTCTCTCATGACTTGATAGCTTATTTCTATCCAGCATTGATTAATATTCCATTGTCGGACGTAGGACATTTTATTGACCTATTCACTTCCTGAAGGACATCTTGACGCTTTCAAGTTTTGACAATTATGAACAAACTTGCTATAAACATCTTTGTACAAGTTTTTATGTACAAAAAGAAGTATTCAACTCACTTGAATAAATATCAAGGAGTATAATTAGATTTTATGGTTAAAAGTATGCTTAGTTTTCCAAGAAACTGCCAGATAGTTTTCCAAAATGGCCGTGCTGCCTTGCCTGGCAGCAATCAATGGGAGTTCCTATTGTTCCTCATCCTCATCAACATTTAGTGTTGTCAGTGTTTTAGATTTTGGTCACCCTAAATCTGTGTAGTGGTATCTTATTATTTTATAGTATCATATTGGATAAACACATAGTCTCAAATTTCCATCTCACTAATGTCTTGTGATGTTGAGCCTCCTTTCATATGCTTCTCATTTATATATCGTCTTTGGTGAGGTATCTACATCATTAGCTAATTTTCAAAACCAAACTTTATTCATTTATTTAGTGTTGAGTTTTTAGTGTTCACTGCATACTTTGGGTAAAACTCCTCTCTCAGGCAAGTGTTGGAAATATTTTCTCCCAGTCTATGGCTTGTCTTGTTATTCTATTGACAGTGTCTTCTGTAAAGTAGAAGTATGTAATTTTAATCAAGTACAATTTATCACTTTTTTTCCTTCATGGATCATGCCTTTAGTGTTACAGCTAAAATGTCATTGCCATGAGGGAGGCTGATGGGGTATGGGCACTGATAGTTTAGCAGAAACTGAATATAATGTTAACATTTGGAGTGAAAATGTAAACCCAACATTAAAACAAATAAAAACTGGCCTCCCCTGGTGGTGCAGGAGGTTGAGCACCGCGCTGTGAAGCTGTCTGCAGCCTGCAGCGCTGATTCGATCACAGCCAGCTGGAGAGTGTCCCACATGGTGCAGCAAACCTCTCCTGTGGTGCCCCCTGCTCCCCCCACCAGTGTATTTCATTAGTCTGCCTGTTCTGTTCCCTGCTCTGTCTCTGGTGAATTTCTCACCCTCCCGCGCATCTGGCCTTTACCCCAGTTTTTGTATAAAATAAATCTTTCTAAATAAATAAATAAATAAAAACTAAAAAGTTATTCTTTATGCAAGGTTATCTAGATTTTTTTTCTACATCATCTTCCTTACCATTATTATTATTTTTGATTATTGAGTGACAGTATGTAGTATGTACCTGACATTCAAGACACAACATGAATAACAATATCCACAAGTATCCTGAGATGTTTAAAGCCTGCTTTAAGAATCTCAAACAACCATTAAGGCAGGAATTCTCCATAGTGATAATAGACAAATAGCAGTACATTGTGAATGAATGCATTCTCAATATCACAAGATATTTGGGCACTGGATTCAGAAGTTGGGATTCCATTCTCTACCAATTACTAGATGTGTGGATCCTCATCTTAGAAATGAGAATAATATTTGTACCCACTTCATTTCACATCAGGGTTGTCACCAAATGATTTCATCCATATGAAGTTCTAAGCATAATATACATCACAAGCATAAGCACAATAAATGCCAGGACTTCTACATTCTCCACGATGGCCTTGAGGTATAACAGTTTGAAGAAAACATTCAAAATTATCATTGCTAGAAAGTATTAATATTCCATTTAATTTTGGAATTTCAAAACCACACAAAGGAATAGTTTCAGTCTCATTCTGTGATCATCAATCGCTAATAAAAGATTCAAGACAAATTTTGTTAATTGATTTTTTTTTAAATTTATTTTTGCATAGAAGAACTGGCAGGTTGGCCAGAAGGGCAGGGTGTGAGAGAATTTACCACAGAGTGGAGAGCAGAACAGGCAGATTTACTGAAATACACTGCTAAGAGGAGCAGCGGGTGAGAAAGGAGAGGTCTGCTGCGCCATGTGGGTTAGCTCCTGGCCGGAGATGGAACTCAGGCTATAGTGGTGATAGCACTTAGACCTCACCCCGAGGACACCAGGGGGCCCCGAAAGATTCAAAATCAATGAATAACAGCACATAGAAAAATCATATACAAACTAGCAGGAAAAATATGTGGTTAAAAGATCTTAATTTAACAGAAGCAGTCTATTAGGCTTTTCTTGAAAAAAAAAAAAAAGCCTCAAATTTCTCATAATAAATTGGTTAAAGTTTTAAGTGAGATCCTCTATTAATTTGGCTTAATATTTCAATATAATATTACTGGTTTTCATTTACGCTATTCTAACAGGAAAAACAGACTTCTAATTTTTAAAATTAAACCACAGAATTAAGGAAGGTTTTTTTCATGAATGACTTCATAAAAAGAATGTTTCAAAGGATAATGACTAATGAAGCAAGCAAAGCATAGTTCTATTTTCCACTGTGACTAAGAATTATATCTTGAAAAAGGTATCAAAGTTGAGCACTAGTTCTTTGAAAAGTACTTTTGAAAAGAAAAATTTCAGCTAATTATGTGATACGAAAAATACGTATCAATCATATCTCAAAAAGTCACTCCTTTTTCCAAACTCTATCTTCCCGATATGAGATTCAAATTAAATCTATTTTACACCAAAATTAAAATTTCAAGAAAATTGTGATTTGATTCATTTATAAGCCAAAGATATGCCTACCGCATGGGACTGACCAGTGGATGAAGGAATCAAGGACAAAACTTTATGATTTAGATCTAAAACAATAAATACTATAAAGACGATTAATAAATATTAACTAAGTGATATTTTTATAATAAAGTTCAAGCAGTATGTGTCTGTTTATCTCACTTTCAACAATTACCTTTAATTGTTTCTTCTACAACTTCTACCACACGATCTATCTGTTGAACCTAAAAAGAAAACAAACTGTTAAACAAGCAATTTACACAGAGAAGAAAACACTAATTTGTGTTCATCCTTCTGTTTGAGTCACTGCTATACATTTCTAAGCATATGAGTGCAGGTTTTAATTAATGCACTTGGAAATATTACTAAAATATCTATATTAATGACTCATGATACAATGAGGTATGTATGAAATTATTATTCTCCCATCCTCCAATAATTATTGAAGAAATCATACTGCATTTAAATAAACCAATCGTCTGGAGTTCTGTTGTGATAGCCTATCCAAATGAAATCAACGTGTTGTGAGATAGAAACTGACTTGTAATTAAAAGACGTTCCTCGCAGCTTCAAGAAAAATGCATAAAATGACAACCGAGCGAAAAGGACATTCTGGTATTAAGGAGATCTACCACAAATCCTATGCTTTATTATTTTAACACTGAAACCTCTTTTAATGAATTTCTGCCATGAGCTGGGTGCTATGATCAGGTTTATGGAATACAAAGTCAAATAATAACAGCTCCTGCTTCTGACACTAGTGACGAAGGAAGATTTCCCAGGGTACCACAGGAACACAGAAGGTAGGTAATAAAATCAGGCTGAGAGATCCAGGCACATTTCCTCAGGAACCAAAGGATATCCATGAGGGATAAAGGAGATTAAGCCAGGAGAAGCCCACTAAGAAGTGTGAATGAGAGTAGCAAGAATTTAGAAGAAAAATGAAAAAAAAAAAAAAATGAAGATTGTAATCTAAGAAGCAAAAGAAAATATTACTTCTACTTTAAAAATCTTCAAATAATCACTGTTACTACAGAAGAAATAGAAGTTCACTTTAAAAAATTCAAACAACATAGACATATAAAAGGGAAATAAAGTAACCCATAATATCCTACAACCTCCACATCTACTCCTCAAATGAAATTTCTCATTAAACGTTTGATGAGGAGACATCAAGATATTTTCTAGTGTTCTATAGCAAGGGAGGGCGAGTGGGAGATATCAAAGCAAGGGAGGGAAGAGCACACGGGACTGTGGTGATGATTCATGGTGCTGTGGTGGTGGGAAAACTATGGGGTCAACCCCTGAGGGGAGAAATCAAATACTGTCCAGAACTTAACAATGTGAGAAAAAAAAAAATTAGGGAGCAAAGATTTTCCAGTGCTAAACCATTATACATAGTTGTGTTCTGTGGTTTTTCCTTTATTTCTTAAAAATTATTAGAAAGCTACCTCCACCTCTGATTAATTTTCCTGTACATCATTACTACATACAGGTCTACTTCATCCATTTTACTAGCTTCATACTTGTCTCGTGTACTGATACACCATAATACATTCATCTATTCCTCTATCTGGGGCAATCGTCATTATCTTTCATTATTATACAACAATGCTACAATGACCGCAATTGAGACAAGGACGTTTAGAAAACACACTGACAAATCTCTTTAAAATATTCCTTTGACTCAGTGAGAACACAGTCGTCCAGCTGGACCTTTGATCGCTCAGCCCAGCATGACGGTAAAGGAGCAATAAGGATTGAGAAATGACCAAAGGCAAAGTAAATCTCAAAGAATGTTGCATCTTTCGTCCCAAACAAGCCCACATAATTGGCGCTACATCCACCTGGAACCACTGCACTCTTAGGTCCTGGTCTTATTAAAAGTTCATGTGACTTCTGTCTCGAATGTGATCAAAGCTGGGTAGCAAAGTTCAAAGAGGAGGAAATACCCGAGACTGTCAACTGCACCGACAGGTAACACAAATACTAAAATGGGTATGCCTGACTCCACAATGAGGGGAGGAGACAAACTCAAGGAAAGCAGTGATTTCAAGTAGCAGTAAATCATCAAAAAATGGTGATAGTAAATCATCAAAAAATGGTCCCTCCTGGGACCCAGAAGGAATTGAGTGTATGTGTGTTTTAGTTTAGGTTAGTGTAGTTCACTCTTACTTGCTTACATTTTTTTCTCGGGAGATGAGAGGGTAAGATGTAAAACACAGGTAGAGACACAAGCCCAGAATGACAGAGGGGCCAAAGCATCTTCGGGAACAAGGGATGACAAAGAAATCATGGGGACTGAGAGTACAATGAGAGAAGATGCTAAGCCAAGTTTCCTACCTGCTGGCCTCAATTTTCTCAGAGAAGAAGTAAATTCATCAGTGAGAAAGCACATTATTAAATAAACAGAGTGAATGTTTCAAACACCTGTTAAATGAAGTGGTGCATAGAGGCATATAAAAATGCTGGGCAGCCCTAAGATACCAGCTGAAATTAGAAGCCATGAATTTTTATTGATGACTCCATTCACAACTGTCCTTTTTCTCAGGGACCAATAGCTCTTGTGTAGGAGACAAACCGATGAAGTGATTGATCCAGATTTGTTCTTTCTGTCAAACATTTATTCATCATTTATTGAACATATAAGATATACCACGATGGTTGACAGGGCTAGGGAAACAGCACTGAGAGATTAATAGGATGAACGTGAAGGATATGGGAGAAAGAAAATTGTGCATTTTGGATAAGATGAAACTTGGAGAATGGGTTAGACAGGAAAAGAAGTAAAGGCAGGAAAGAGAGATGAAGAGCTTGGGTCTTAGGGAAAGATGAAGAAAGTAAAGAGAGGAAGGCAGGAAACAGGAAAACAAGAAAAGAGAACAGAAGGTTATAATCACAGTACAAATACAGGCATTTCAATTTTTGAAGAATAGCAACATCCAAGATGTTAACATGAGAATATGGCACTGGGACAGGAAGGGGGTGATTACCACTAGAGTTGAGAAGTAAGGACGTGAGGGGATAGAGTGCTGATGAAACATTACCTATGAACACTCAGATTCCCCAGAGAGAGGCCAGGGTAGGGCAAGGAGAAGTTGGTGAAATTTCCCAGTGAATGTGTATGAATTGACAATACATCACATCACAGTGGAGGATAAAAGACAGAAAATAAAAGGAGTAAAATATGAGATAACTCAATGACAAATCCAGAACACTTTCCTATGTGGTTAGAGATATAATCGCTCAGTGAGCATTGCACCCAGACTGCAGTCCATGAACTGAGTAAGAAGCAACACTCCTACAGCAGAGCCAGAATAATATGGAGGAAGCAGTTAAAAATGTTAGAAGTTGAAGATAAGCAAAAACCCTAAAATTCTTTGACAAAAGCAGTCATAAATCTAGATGAACCTTGGATAAGGTTTCATAGAGACCATACCAAACACATGAGCAACAAAAGAAAATGGACATTATCAAAATTAAAACCTCTTAGTGCATCAAAAGACATCATCAAAACCTAACAGCATAGAAAATAGGAGAAATTTTGTGAATCCTCTCTGATAAGGAACATTTATCTAGACAGGTAAAGAACTCCTGCAACACAATACTAAAAGGAAAAAGAAACTGTTTAAAAATGAGAAATAGCCTGAACAGAACTTCCACAAGATATACAAATGTACAATAAGCACCTAAGATGTGCAACATCCTTAGCCAACTAGGAAATGCAAATCAAAACCACAAAGGAAGAATGAAGAGTTCCCGTTTCATGGATCCAGAATTCAGTTTGCAAAAGGGAAAGCATTCTAGAGAGAAACAGTGGTGAAGGCTGGCCAACACTGCGCGTGTACTCACTGCCACTGAGCAGTAAGCTTAACATTGGTTGCACAGTATGTATTGTTACGTATATTTTACCACAAAGAGATACCATTTCACAACCACAGGGATCATTATAATCAGAAAGATGGATCATAGCCAGAGGAGCAAGGATATAGAGATCCTGGAAGCCTTATACATCACCAATGGAAATGTAATAAAATGATACAGTTGCTTGTGAAATGTATTAAGATGGTACAGTGTGGCCTTAAACATACAGTTACCAGCAATTCCAATCCTAGGGATGTGCCCAAGAGAAGTGAAAACACAAATCAACATAAAAACCTAAACTTAAAAGTTCATAGCAGCATTATTCTTAATTATCAAAAGACAGAAACAACCCAAGAACCATCAACAAATGGATAAACAAAAGATGGTGTATCCAATGAAGTATTACTGAACCATAAAGGTAAATGAAGTATTGGTAAATGCCACAACATTTTGCCAAGCAAAAGACCCCAATCTAAAGAGTCAAGTACCATATGATCCCATGTATCTGAAAAGGACAGACCAGGGATCTTCAGAGACAAAGCAGGTCCAGACTGCTGACAGGTGGGAGATGAGAGACATGGGAGGGGCTGCTGAGAAGCACTGGGCATCTTTTTACAGTAAGAAAGTAGTAATACCTTAGTATTACTAAACACTAAAATTGACTGGTGACAGTCACATAATTCTATGTATACATCAAAAATGACTGAATTGTACATTTTATTACAGAACTATACAGTATGGCTTATATCCCAATAACGCTATTCTTGTCCCTCCAAAAAGCAACTCAAAAAAGCAAAGGAAGTAAATATTCTAATGCCAAGATCATGAAACTCAAGGAAAAACTGAGGAACTACTCTAAAATAAGGGTGACTGAAGAGATTTGATAACTGAATACAAATTTGATCTGGGATTGCTCTTTATTGGGATCACTAGCAAGATCTCAAAGCTAGTGTAACTTACCACATCTTATCAATGTTGATTTCCTGATTTTTATAATATATTGTACTACAGAAGCATGTGAGAATGTACTTATTTTTGAAATATGACTACTTAAAAGTAAAGGACATCATGTTTGCATTCTACTACCAAAAAGATCAGGGGGGGAAAATGCACATTCATAAAAGAAGATACAAAACTTTAAAATATTAACATTTGGGAATCTGAGTAAAGGGTAAACGTAATTGTTTATTTGGGGCTCTATGTGAAATTATACACAATAAAAAGTTTAAATATATGTGTCTATTCAAGTAATAATTTCCTTTATCCTAATGGTCACATAAAATTTCCTCAACTGTGTGCAGCTGAAAATAGAGCCACTGATTTTAAAAAAGTACTTGCTTCTTGATTTCATTTGTTGTTA